GTCAGTTTGTCCTATTGTGGTGACTTGCATGTTGCTGCGATGCTGGAAGCTATGCCATTAGTATTTCAAATAACAACAGTGTCACCCAGGCTGGACAGGTTTCAGTGGAGTTTCCAATTTGATCCCCAAAATTTGCAAATGAAAACCTTATAGATCATAACAGAACATTGTCTGGAAAATGAGCCCCCTAAGTTGGAAACACACAGTGGCTATTCCAATGGAATCTTACTGACTACTGATCATGAAGCTGGAGAAGGAGCAGGCAACATTGCATTCTCTGATGCATAGAGTTGTCATGAGTTAGAACTGACTCAAAGGTAACTAACAATGATGGACAACAATAACTCTGATTCCATTGTACTTATTTGGTTAGATCAAGTTATCTCCAAATGGTAGCAACCCATATGTCCTGCTTCCATTTGGTCTGATGTCTAATTCAAGCCATGTGCTTTCCTTCTCCTCATCCCCTGCCCCTAGAGAGTCAGGCATACACATACACATTGTCCTGTGGACCCTGGTGACAGCTCCTTCTTCCTTGTCCTTACCGAGCAGGGCTCTCTCTCTCCACCATCCTTCTGTCAACTTGACCAGATGCTATGGGACTTTCTAGTACCACTTTTAGGCTGTCTCCCTCCACGAAGAGTTCCCTGGATCAACAGACATGCTCCTTGCCACCTTGAACTCCCAATACGGCGAAAATCAAACAATATTTTGTACTTAACTCATCTCCAGTTAGGGAAGCTTCAAGAAAAGAGAACCAGAGAAACAGTTTGCATTCTAGAATTTGAAACTGGATTCTAGGTTGACTTCAAAACTGGAATCTAGGTTCATTCCATCTTCACCTTACTGGGTTGGCTTGCTCATTTGTGAACTGGGGGCAGTCTGTGTCTCACAGTGGTTAGGGTAACAAAATGAGTTTATATTTACAAAGGACTGTGCATTTATTTGCCATTTATGGGGTGTGATTAGGGAAGTAGTAGATCCATCAACATAAAGCCAGCCCACCCGAAACCTCTGTGCCTGAAACCAGGGCCTCTGATGACCAGTTTGCCTAAAAGTCAAACGAGTCATTTTACAAGAAGACATTTTACATCGATTTTCCTAAGAGGCACTTCCCGCATACTGTTGTGTTTTGAGTCACTATGCCACAATTTGCAGGATTTTGTGGCTGATGCAATTGTTTGGTATGTGTGTGGGTGACTTTTTCTATTTTATCTATTGAACACTTTTATGATTTTTTTTTTAAGGAAATTTGTCTAAAGACCCTTTCTCGACCATTGTATATTTCTAGCACTAACTTTTTGTCAAATCTATAGAATTTCTCCCAAGATTTATTGAATGCACCCTTTCTGATCACCCCTGTCTCCTTCTCGCTGCGTTTTGTTCTGCATTGTGTATGCCTGCATGCACCTAATGGGCTTATTAACCAAATTAGCATGTACCCAATGTTCCTTTCTGTTCTGCAAGATATTGGCATTTTGACAAGCATGAAGAAGTAAGACAGATGGGGCCGACTTAGAGTGAACTCTCGCATTTTATTTTCCCGGCTGTCATTCATCAGGCTACTCGACTTTGTGAAACATCAAATAATACATACAAAGGCATTACCAAAGGTATTTATTGCTGGAAACAACATTTTCCAAGAAAGGCAAACTGGCTAAAAAGTCCCAGAGTGTTCAAAAGTAGATCAAATAGAAGAAGATACCCACCAAGGATATAAAACAGTGTTTACCTACACTTCATGAGACTGCTCTTAAACTTTTTTTAATCCCTGAAATGACACTGACCCCCCCCCCCAAAAAAATGGGGCCACCCAAACAATGCTCAACTACTCCAAAGTGAGCTTGCTGAATTGTATTTGTACTGGACATCAAGCAGAGGGAATCTGTCCTTGTATTAGTGACAAATTAGTTTGAGGCCAGTTGACCTTGAACTGGTATGGGATGCAGGCACTGACCTCGGTACACATGCAAAACATGGGCCCAGGGGAGAGGAATGCCAATCCTGAACATGACCTCCGAAAGGAAGGGCTAGTTATCAGCTTTGAACTCTTTATTATAAAGACATATTTACAAAGAACAATCTTTACAAACCAACAGTCAACACAATTATGGGAAGTGGACAATTTCTTAAAGAGCCTTAATATCTTTGTATAAATTAGTATAAGAATCATACACAACCACTTTAAATAAGACAGCCCCCTTTCAGTCTAACCATGATCCTCCTCTGACCCAGACCTCCCAATTTCCTCAACCGTCCCGTTTCCTCCCCTTCCCCACAGGGCTGGGCTTGGCTATACAGGCGACAGTAGGCTGACAAGGCACATGTAAGGAGGCTGCAGGTGAAGGAGGGCTAGTCCCTGGAGGGGTATCAGTGGCAGATGAGACTTTCTAGACATTGGCCAATCCCCACTCCAAGCCTGAGGGGTGTGGGGGAAGGCTGGCACCCAGCCCAGCTCCTCAGGGTGGGCTTTGAAGCAGTAGCAGCAGCAGCAACAGTAGCGTTAGCAGCAGAGGTAAGGGACTCATGGGAGAGGAGACACATACATTAGGGGCTACTGTGGGACTCAGGGCACCCTGAATCCCCTGCCCCTGTACAAACATAAGTGGGCATCAGGCACTTGTCTCCCCTCTTCTCCCTCCTGGGAGGCATCTGAGAAGGAAGCGTGCCCAGACATAAGGCGAGAGAGGCTACCTTTGGGAAAGGCTTCTCATGGAAGGTGGGACCTCCTGGGGTGGGGGGGATGCTATCCCAGCTACACTTCCTCCCATCTTCCCTTCCTTTCCTGTCTTCCTTCACTAAGGACAGGCTACAGTGAAGGAAGGTCCAGTCAATGCGAAACTCCAGGACCCAGGCGATGGCGCCAGGGAAGGGAAGGCCATGAAGTCAAACGCTTTCAGACCATCTCTTGCCTCCTGAGAACCAGTAAAGGGGTCTGAATGGTCATTTCAGGACTTATCCCATCCCTGTTAAAATATCTATATCTAGGGGTGCAGGGATGCTGCAGGGACATGGGCAACTGGCCAGTTCCAGAACTCTGTAGTCTAGGTTGGGAGGTTGGGGAGCGGGGGCAGCTCCATCCCCACTATAGGGCAGTTCACAGCCAGCCTGCCTCTCTCCCTCCCAGCCATCCCTGGTCCAACCCTGGAAAAAGGCACTTTCTTTTTCTTTCTTTTTTTTTTAAGACATCAGAAAGAGGGAAAAGGGTATCATGAAGTGGGAGTTGGGAGACCTGGGTCCTCATTCTGGCTCTTTAGTCACCGTAAGTAGGTCACTACCCATCTCCAGACCTTTGGTTTTGCAGGAGTGTGCCCGAGGGGACAGAGGGAAGTGGTCTCCAAGGGGCCTTTTGGCTGGGATAGTCTGTGATTCTTGGCAAAAACAATCTTCCTGCTTGACTTTGGCTCCTGGGAGGGTCTAGAGCCATCTTAGGCTCAGAGTTCCACTCCATGGGACTAACTGGTAGGACTGAGGAGGGTGAGAGGGACACAAAAAGGAAAAAGTGACCAAGTATTACTTTGTGGGGCCCTGTCCCTAGCCCCTTCCTTAGCTGGGACCTTTCTCTTTTCCCAACACACACACATTCCAATGGCCTCCAGTTCAGGGACTGGCCCCTCCCCGACTAGAGGCTCGCTGCTCCTCTCCGTGTTTCTCTCCTGGAGACCAGGCTGAAGGGTCCAAGGGACAAGAAGGCATGTGGTGTGCTGGGCCTCAGTGAAACAGAGAAGTGTCCACCCAGATCCCGAGATTCCCTGGTGGCGCAATGGTCAAGCACTTGGCTGCTAATCAAATGGCTGGTTTGAACCCACCAGTCGCTCCGTGGGAGAAACATGTGGCAGTCTGCTTCCGTCACAATGACAGCCTAGGAAACCCTGTGGGGCAGTCCTAAGGGGCCACTATGAATCAGAGTTGACTTTACAACAGTGGAGTTTGGGCTACCCAGACCCCAAGGCACACAGGAGGAAAGCAGGCCAGGTGAAGGACTGGACTGTCTAGATGGGAGGGGGAGGGAGGAAAGGGAGGGTCTGGGAGGACAGACGGATGGTGAGGAAAAACTTCCAGGGTTGGGTTTCCACAGGCAGTCTAGGAAGGGGCCCAGGAGCTGGACTGAATGGATCCGTGAGAGAGACAAGGAATGCCATTCAGAGAAGCTGGTGGGTGAGAAGAGTCGGGAACATCAGCCGCTAGAATAGGTGCAAGACAAGACCACAGGGCTGTGAGGGTCTCGGAGAAGCAGACCAATTCATGGAACAGGGAGATGTGCAGGGGGCAGGCACTCAGGGGCCTTCATTCCTGAAGAGAGAGACAAAAATGAGAGAAATCACTTACGTGTTCTAGACCATTGAAACCACCTGTGCAGGGGAAAGAGACAGACTTTAATTCCCCTCACCCCACACTCAGCACTAGAAGCCCAAGGCCCTGGGTGGGTGCCACCTTGGCCTGGCTGCAGCAGGACAGAGAAAAACGGGCCAGGCCCCACACGCTGGCTTGGATCCTTCCTGTTCTTTCTGCTGACATCTTTGAGTTTTCTTTCCTTGTCACAGTGCTGGGGCACTGGCAGCCACAGCTCTCTTCCTTCTCTTTGTCTGATGGCTCCCACCCAAGGCTCTCTGCCTTCTCCCAGCCCTCCCTCAGGAGGATCCACACAGGTGGCCCTTGAAGGCATGCCCCGGGGCTACCCCTCCCTAGTCAGCGGGGCCTCTGGGGAATTCTAGAACTCTCCAACTGGGCCAGCTTGCCGGAACCCAAGCAGCACAGTGAAAGGGAACCAGCACCCAACTTTCAAGGAGTGAGGAAACCCCTCTGGGTGTCAAGCCCTCCTGGGCCTTAGTTTCTTTCCCCTGGGAAATAAAGTGATGGGCACATGCCGTACTTGCTGGCTCTAAGTCCCTGTACTGTGCGTACTGCTGGGTGGATGTGGCTGGATGGCCCTGCATCTAGTTTGCACCTCTCCCCTCCCTTGCAGTCCTGCCCACCAATGAGAGTCTCAAGTACCTGCTTCAGAAAGGCATGGGGCCCTTATGGGAGAGGCGGGGCCGCTGGCGACGGAATTTCCTCCGGCCTCCCTGCCAGGGCCCCGGGCCATTCCTCACCCCTCTGGGCTGCACCAGGTGGCGGACATTGCCTTCCTCCAGTCCCTGCCAGTCAGAAGGCTGCATCAGGGGCACTTTGGGAAGAAGAGAGCGAGGGTGTTAATGAGGGGGGAAAAAATCAAACCAGTTGCTGCTAAGTTGAGTCTATTGCACCCCCTATGTTTCAGAGTAGAATCCTCTATAGGGCTTTCGAGGCTCTGCAGGTCTTCTGATGGGCCTGTGGGTGCACTAAACCATTTGTACCATCTAGGGCTACCCCATGAGTGAGGAAGAATGCGCAGGAAGACACAAGCACAGGTCCATGGTAAAGGGCAACCTGTCCAGGAGGTGGCGCTGCTCATAGCTTTTCTCTGTATTTTCCATCCTATGAAAATGTTGCCATTTTTTGACACCCGTTGTTGTTATGTGCCGTGGAGTCGGTTCTGACTCATAGCGACCCTGTACAGGGTTTCCGAGGCTGTAAATCTTTATGCAATTCACTACTCACATCTTGCAAATGATGCCACTGAGTTTATGTCCTTTCGACAGTTATATTGTACTTCTGACTGGCACAAACATCTTTTTTCTTTGGCACACCACAGGGCATGCAGTTTGGGACATTCTGCCTGAGCTTTGCTTGGGGCACAAGATGCACTAACCCCCACTGAACTCTTGTCAGCAATATACTTAAAACATTTCAGCCATGCCTCCCGTGCCCATCACACCGATTCAACAGTTACTCCGATGTTGTCCTATATGCCTTTGTTACCTCTGGTTCTATTCCTTGCTGAAGTATTTATATTATGTAGTATTATATATAGTATTGCACTTTTACATCCTTTGGTATGCACGTTGAGTCCTAGACAGCTCACACCTCACCCAGAGCAGCCCCTCACTGTTAGGGCTTCTACAGGGCTTGCTCCCTCTTGCCTGTGGCCGAGAGCTTGGGGGATGGTCTCAGATTCAGCCTGCCTTAAAACCAACTCGATTCTACTCCCCTGTAACCAGATGTAAGCAACCTGTTACCATCGAGTTGATTTCCACTCATGGTAACCCCATGTGTTACAGAGTAGAAGTGTGCCCTATAGGATTTTCTTGGCTGGCATCTTCAAAGAACCAGATTGCCAGACCTTTCTTCCATGGTGCCACTGGGTGGATTTAAACTGCCAATGTTTAGGTTAGCAATCGAGCACAAACAGCTTGTACCACCCAGAGGTCAATAAATATAGAATGGCTTGCTGGCTGGCTGGCTGTGTGGCTGTAGCAGCAAGTGTGTGCATCAGGAGAGGGTACGTTGTTGGGTACTTCCTGACTCAATGTCCTCCCTCCTTTCACTCCCGGACCACACCCCTCCATCCTGGGTTTGAGGCCCATTTCAGTCTCAGCTGGCTTCTACTCTGCTCTCTGGGTGTCTCTCTCCAGCTGTCTACACTGAGCTAACAGTATGCACTTCCCAATGCTAGACTGAGTCCTGTCAGTGGAATGTAAGTGCTGCTAGGTGTTCTTGGGTGCAATGAGAGAGACAGCATCCAGGTCTGCCCTCATGGTGGAATAGTGTTCCTGAGACCAGTAAGGATGAAAAGTCCAGTCTCCTCCCCTTCAACTCCCCATCTGATGGTCCTCAGCATTCCCATCCATCCAGGAATTCCCACCCTTAGTTCACAGTTTTCACACAACCTCCCATTGGCTGCTAGCCCCCCACTCATACCCTTGGAAGCTCCTCCTTACCCTTCAGCCCCCACTCCACCCCTCACCCAACACTCTGGTTCAGTCCTTAACTCCTTGGCACTCCACAGTGATTCCTCCTCTGCTTGCACATAATTGCCACACATTTATTCTCCTCTTGGGCCCAAAGTAGGCGAGGTCTGGCCTTAGGGTCCTCTTTGCCCAGGCTCCCAGGGCCTGATGATCTCCCACCCCATATACACATCTCCTTAAAACCCTCCACCCAGGCTGGCTCGTTCGTGTGCACGACTTTCTCCACCTTCCCCTCTTCTCCAGGCCAACCCAGCAGTTTATTGAAGTCGTTTGGTTAGCTGGTCATACTTCTGTGCTTATGGCCAGAGTGGACAAATGTGTCAATGCTTCCCCTAAACCCATCACCTATGAGAATGGAAACAAAAATTACATCAGCACTTTAGGGAGGGTCACTCTCAGTGCCATCTGAGTAGCGGCTGGGTCTTTGATAAGCCCTCATACCAGCTGCTTCAGCTTCTGTCCTGTGTTTGACGGTCCCCTGAAGGCCTGCACTGCCCACTGACACCAGAAAGATGCTGTGAGGAGTCAGTACTACAGAAATACTCAAGGCGGGAAGGATTGTGCCTTGGGTGTAGCCAGGCTTAGGGGAAGGGCCCTGTTATCAGGTGCCACTGAACTGATTCTGACTCACAGTGACCCCATGAGATAGAGTAGAGCTGCCCTCCAGGATGGCTCACACGTTAGCCAGGTAGATTGTTCGACTAGGCCTGCAGAGAAAAACCACCCTCAGCTGATGGAGCCAATCAGTGTCTTCCCTAGGCCTGCCTTCTTCCAATCTTAAACGCTGCTTCTCCCATTTCTTTCTCTCTGGCTCTTTGGTTGGCCTGGCACCCTCTCAGCTGCCCACTCCCACAGCATTGTGGGGACTTGAGCTTTCAGGGAGGCCAGAATGTGGCTGCAAGCAATGAGGCTGTGGCTTCCTGAGAGTGGGCTTGGGCCCAGTTCAGGCAAAATGCAGTTTCAGGTCCTCTGGCAACAGCAGATTTGTACTGATGTCATTTGCACCAGCTCCTCCAACCTTTTGAAGGCCTGGGCAGCTTGTATCTCAATCGGTGGGGACACCTTGTCGCCTCATGGCATCCCCAGCACTCTGATCCTGCCACCCAGCTGTCTCCTACCGCTGTGTTTGAGTCAGACTCCCCCTATGATAGGCTGACACCTGAAACCCTGGCTTTCTCCAGTCCAAAAGAACAAATTAGAGGCAGATTCCCCTTTAGAAATGGCGCCATTCCCAGCACACTTGAAAATGTTCTTCCAGCTTATTTGCTCCTTAAAGAGAAGCTGCTGTAATCCCAAAAGTCGCAATCCTGGGTGGGGGCAGGACTGCAAACATTGCTCTTTGAAGTGCCACCAGCCAAGAAGGTACAGCATCTCAACACTGAAAACCTGTCAGGTGGCAACTAGGATTTGAATTTTCGCCTCGATTTGAACTCCAAACCGACCAGTGCACAAAGAGCTTACGTGCGGCTTTTCAGGAACCTGCCAGCCGCACCAGGAATGATGCACCTGTTTTTCTTTTCACCGCCTGGCCTATCTTGTGATCGCTTTAAAAGCGCCCACGTGTACCCGTCTGTGCCTACTCCACTGCTCCATGGTACTGCATGTGTCTCTGGGTTGAGGCTCCTTCAGGCGCCCAGCCCCTCCGCCTGGTGGCTTGAATAGCTCTTGAAGCCTGGCCCTCCATTCCACTAGCCTGAGTCCTTTGCTGAGAGGCCAGGTTCAAGTTACATGGCTACTTAGCAATTGGGGATGGAGCGGTGATGCCCCCTCCCTAAGCAGGGCACACTACCCCTGTGACTGCAGGCTTCAAGCTGGGACTGGGGAGTGGGAGGGAATGTGGGGAGGAAGGTACTCAGACAAAGACCAAGGGACACTTGGCCCTGGCCCAGCAACTCCCAGACTCAGAAGAGCAAAGTGTATCCCAGGTCAGTAGGCAGTGGAGAAGTGTTGGGGTAGGGGGCATGCCAAGTCAGAACAGAGTGTGGAATGGAGGAAGCATGGTTTTTAAGCCTGGGGACAGCATGCCAGTTTGGGTCAAAGACAAAGTGTTTCTGGGGTTCCTCCTCTAACCCAGGGCAGGAGGCAGGAGAAGCAGGCCATGTGTTCCTGGACCCTTGGTTAGGGGCCACCTACCTGGGTGATCATCCCTCACTCCAGGTATGGTCAGGGGTGGAGAAGGCAGTGGGATGGCCTTGGAACCCTCCAGGGCTAGGCTAAAGCAAAATCTGTGGGCTTTGAATGTACACAAGCCAAGGTGTCAAGATAGGGGAATGAAGACAAGAAGTGGCAGGGCTGGGGACAGCCACTCAGGCTGGCCAATTTCCCTCTCTCTGAAAGAAGTTCCCCCCTTTTCTTAGTATTGCCCCAAAGGCTGGACCCTGACAGAACTTGAGTGGTGGTCCACAGGTCAGGAGTCTCCTGGGGAGAGCATTACATGTGCAGATGGAGATGCCCCCAGCTTCTTGTGGAGAGCCCCATCCACACCCCCTCTTTCTCCTCTGAAGGTGTCTAGTGGTATCCTGTGGGGAGCTTGTCTTGCTAACTCCACAGGGCGGTAGGCTGTAATGGGGTCCTTCCCACCAATGCCTGCCTGAGAAGAAGTCTGCTCTCTTCTTACCAAAGAGGTGTCTGACCCAGTGCATACGTTTGGAAGACAAAGGCCATTGGACAGTTTGCTACCTGAGACAAGGGGTGCCAGACTCAACCAATGTGCCTTTCTGAGAAGTCACAGCTCTCTGGGTGTCAGGACAGAAAAAAGAGGTTGTAAGGTCGGTGGTTCAAACTCCCCAACCGTTCCTAGGAAACCCTACACAGCGTTGCTATGACTCAGAATGGACTAAACAACAAGAAGAAGCCGGGGAGGTCACACCAGGCCAGGTGGAGCCTCTGTGAGGCTCTGGGGCTGCAGGTCACCCTCTCATTCTGAAGGGTTTGGGACCCAGGCAAGCCCTGTGCCTTCCTCTAGGAAGTCTGCCGCCCTGCCCTCTCCTTCCCTCTGCTCCCACCTCCCTGTGACTCCAGCTCTGGCACCAGCCAACCTCAGCTTTGATTGCCCTTCGGTGGTGCCAGGCAAGCAAGTGGCAGTGACAGTCAGATCACAGAACTGTGGCAGCTGCAGGTGTGAGCTGGCAGCCCCAGGAGACACTGACTCACAGAGGGACTGGCCACCCAGCTTGGGGCTGCTGGGGACTAGGCTTGGGGGCTGCAAGGTGGGAGGCGTGGTGCAAGGGGGGGCCAGGACTCCCCTTCCCCAGCGTTGCATGGTGTCTGGGCGGAATCTGTACCTCCTGGGTTGGTGTCTGAAGACAGGGAAACTAAGGTGAAGCCTGCCTGTGGCTGGGGTAGAGGGGAGGCCCAAGCTAGGATATTGAAGAGCTGGTCCCGGGAATTGCTGGAAACTTCAGGAAGGCCTCTTGTGCAGGACCCTGGGTTAAGGAAGGAGAAGGCCAGCAGACCCCCTTCCGCTCCGGCCTGTGCAACAAGTATCACGTCTGCAGGTTGCAGGTTAACACACCATCCAGAGTGGCCCGAGCTCCCGGACCAGCCGGTGTCCCCTGACCCCCAGGGACAAGAAAACCTCCAATGTGCGAGCCCAAGCCACCGGGTTTCTTTCCCTCCGCTGATCCTGGAGGGGCGCGGGGCGCGGGGCTGGCGGCCAGGTGGGACCCGGCAGGGCAGGTGGTGATGCCCGGGACAAGCCGAGCCCGGGAGGAAGCGCTGCCCACGGCGCTGGCCAGGCTCAGGCACCCTGACAGTGGGAGGTGGGGAGGGGCGGCAGGCTGCGCGATGGGGCCGCGAGGGGCGCGGGCGTGCACTCACCTCCATACACCGATGTCAGGACAAGCCAGAGCAGCAGCAGCAGCGCCTGCACGCACCGCCACAGGTCCATGCCGCCGCCGCCGC